TGCATACACCGGATGTAGATGATGGAAAATGTTCTATCCTAAGACGGAGTACATATTTTTTGTTTTTTTTTTTTTGTAAGAAAGTGTACTTCACACTAAAATCAATATTATGGATATAAAATGGATCAACCTATATCGATTTAGTCTTAAATGTAAGCGTGTGCGGTTTTTTTTTTCATGGTTTCCCTTCATCTTAACTTACATAAATGAATAGTTGAACTTAATACTAGAACTAATGTATTTGTGATGAATTGAATTCAGTCGATTTTATCGGTCTCTCATTAATTAGCTAAATAATCATTATGCTAGTTATCGGTGATGAACGAGCTTTATTTATACTGACCTAAATTTCCTTGAAATAATTAACTTGAGGTAAATGAGATGAACTAATTAATGATCATTCTTCTTTTCAATAAGGAATACGAGTAGTACTAATCCCCAATTTCCCAGCTTCAATATTCTAAAGACAAAAATGTCTTTATTTTATTTTTGCGTACAGATTCCCCTTAAGGACAAAGATTCATAGATAAGTCATGGAAACATTTACACGATGTCAGTCATGTCATAATAACAAATATTCTGCTTGAATGGGTAGGGGCCAAAGTTCCTAGCTATTGGACTATTGGGATATTTATATACCGAGATATACTTCTTCCATTCAAAATATAGTTGCATTGTTTATTTTTTTATTTTTTTAAATCTATTACACATTTGGGCGCACTAATTTGAATATGTTTAAACCGTAGATTTGTATAGAATATACGAAATATAAAGTTAAAATATTTGAAAACATATATTATGGAGATTTTAACAAAATCTTATTTACTATGTCTTTCATGATGTTTTAGTAATAATTGATGATCAAAGTTTTTTTTCCGAGTAATTGTATATATAATACTTCGTATTTAAAAATCGATACAATCATTATTTTAAAGCAGATGAAGATCGAATATGACTAATTGACTACTAGTCGTAGAATCATGGTGGTGGACTTTTGTTGATAACTTTTAAAGCTAGCTAGGAATGCCCCGGGCCCCTTGCTCAATTGCCCACTCACCTAATTTGCTCAACTGCCCACTCAATCTAATATGTATAGCCCTAATCAAGTGGCTTAGAAGACGTGTCTTACCCTCTTACCACTTAATACCTTAATTAAAATCTAGATTATCCACTACTAGCTTCGCTTTTGTTGTGCCTGCTCGCTCGCTGTCTACTAAATGAGCATTCACTGCCCGTAGGTTCTTTGTTAACAATAATAATCATGCAAGTTTGTCTAAGATTGCGTTTGTTAGTAAATTGTAATGCAGTTCATCCGCATGTAGTCTAGCTAGACGAGATACGCGCGTGTATAGAATGCATTGGGTGTATCCATTTATACATGTGTATGTCATTACTAGAAATAGGCCAATTTACGACGGATCAGTTCCGACAGACATGAAATCCGACGGAATATTCCGACGGAATTAAAATCTGTCGGAAATTTACGACGGAATTCCTATGGAATACAAATCCGTTGGAATTTATGGGTTTTCCGACGGAATATTCCGTCGGAAACTTAATCTTTCGACGGAAATGAAATCCGTCGGAACTTTCCGAGGGAATTTTCCGTCGGAACATTATGTTTCCGATGGAAATAAAATCCGTCGGAATTTCCGACGGAAAATTCCATCGGAATTTAATTAAATAATAAAAAAAAACACAAACCTAAAAAACCCTACAAAACCCGGTTTCCCCTCCCTCCCCTAACATTTCGGTTTTCTCTCTCCTCTCCTCCCCGCCTCTCGCCCCTTTCTCTCTCCTCTCCTTCCTCGCCCCTTTCTCTCTCCTCTCCTTCCTTCTCTTTCTCCTTCCTTCTCTTTTCTTTCTCCTTCCTCGCCCCTTTCTCTCTCTTCTCCTTCCTTCTCTTTCTCCTTCCTCTATACGCCCCTTCCTCTATTTGGAATTTTGTGACGGCGTTTTCCGGCGGATGGTGTGACAGCGAGTGGTGTGACGGTATGAATGGGTTTTTTGGTCAAATTTGACCATGAAAAATTCTAGATCTAGACTTTTTCATGGTCAAATTTGGCCTTAATAAACCAAATTCGAATTCAATTTGGGTTTTAAGGTATGTTTTTGTGTTATTAATATTTTTTTTGTTTGATTTTTTGTACAAATTTGGTTTGGTTTTGTTGTTGATTTGTTGTACGAATTTGGTTTGATTTTTTTTTTGTTCGAATTTTGTTTGATTTTTTTTTTACGAATTTGGGTTGATTTTTTTTACGAATTTTTTGTTGATTTTTTGTACGAATTTGGATTTTCCGGGTTATAATTAGGGTGGTGGGTTATGTTTTTCGGGTTAGGATGAGGGTGGTGGACTGGTGGGTAGGTTCTAGGTGGTGGTCTTGGTGGGGGGGGGGTACTGGGTGGTGGTCTGGGTGGGGGGGTTCTGGGTGGTGGTCTGGGTGAGGGGGTTCTGGGTGGTGGGGGGGTTCTGGGTGTGGGTGGTGGTCTGGGGTGGTGCGGGGTCTTGTCTGGGTTGGGTTGGGTTGGGTGGTGGTCTGGGTGGGGGGGGGGGGGTTCTGGGTAACGGTGGTGGTTTGGTCGGGAGGGGGGGTCTGGGTGTGGGTGGTAGTGTCGGAGGTGGCAGGGTTTTTTTTTTATTTTTTTTAGCAGCATATTCCGACGGAAGTTTTCGTCGGATTTGTATTCTGTCGGAAATTTCCAACGGACTTTCCGGTGACCGGAATTCCTCTTCCGACGAAGAAATTCCGTTGGAACAGTGTGTTCCGACGGAAAAGGCCGTTTTTCCAACAAAAGGGTTTCCAACAACCGGTTCCGACGGAATTTTTCTGTCGAAAATCACCTGTTTTCTAGTAGTGTGTCTAATACTCCCTCCGTTTTTAAATACTTGCTCCATTTCTCCTAGGCACGTATGCCGATACTAATCTTTGATCAATAACATCTTAAATTATCAAAAAGTATAAATTCTAACAATTGAAAATAAATAATCTATTCATTGAGACGATTCCAACAAGTACCCACAAAATTATATTTTTTCTTATGTATAAATCACAAACATTAGTCAAAGTAGGACTAATCAATAGTGCAAAAAGTAGAAATTGAGCAAGTATTTAAAAATGGAGGGAGTATAATTGATAGAGTATAAAACATATTCCTAGGTCTCAACCATCTGATTAAGCTTTTGGTTGAGTTGGTACTCTAACATGGTATCAGAGCCAACGTGACACAAAAGTCACGGGTTGGAATCTCATCCACCCCCCCACTTTTAAATAGCGCTGGGTATGAGGAGGACACATGCTGCATCCACACATCAAGCCCAATAGGCTCTCGTGTAAGAGGGCATGATAGAATATAAAACATATTTAAGGACCTCAACCATCAGCTTAACCTTTTGGTTGAGTTGACCCTCTAACAATAATATAAAGCTCGTAAAACTTTTAGAATTGAGTTTATTTTGTTCTTCTTACTTTAACTCTTTTCTTTCCCTCTTTAATGAATGTCATATAAGAACAAGCTCACAAGGGGATTAGATTACTTATATATAACTTTAATTTTTTTTTTTTTAAATACTACGTATTTACATGACTTAATGATAACTAGAATATAGTATTCCAAAGTTCTGATTATAGTCTAATTCGTCCATTCTCAAAAGATAACTGTGGAGTAACACAGGTGTTTCTTTATTAATAAGTACGTAAAAGTGAGTTTGGTTACTTTCACTTCATCCTTCTTCCTTGATCGTACTCCAACTCGTGGTACCCTGATATTTACGGAGATCCCTCTATTAGACAAAGAAAATTATGGAGATTTGACAAGGAAAAATAATAACGCTAACATTAAAAAGTGGAGATTAAATTGTTGGACCAAAAAAAAAAGGTGGAAATAAGTTGCTGTGAAATCTTAGCTTACACTTTAGTGGCCTAGAGAAATGCCGAAAGCAGTTGATTCGCCCTTTTTACCAGTTTTGTACTTGAATGTCATGGTTGCTCTCTAGAGCTTTCGATATGGTCCATTGCAAGCTTCAATCACCTACTTGAGTGCTATGAGTAGAGGGACAAAAGAGGTTTTACGATGTAAACCATTAATAACAAAACTTTTTTATTATTCATTTTCTAAGATAATTAAATTAAGAAATGATTAATCTTTTATTAAAAACATTAATCAACTATTTATTTTATATGTCATTTAAGTATCATTTTAGCATATTTATATTTTATCTATTATAAAGCGTTTCAAAGAAAGTCTACACGTCATATAACACTGTCAACCACTTGTTTTTCATTCTATCTCTATGGGTATTATTAACAAAAACTTTTTTTTTTTTTTTTTAAAAAAAATTTCAAAGTTCAAAATAATTATACTTCATATAACATTTCAGCTAGGAGGCCTACTCGGAGCCCATTATTACTTGAATTTTTAACATTAGCATTCTCTAAAAATGGTTTGATTTCGTGTATTTTATTATCGTTCAATTTAGACTTCGGAGCACTATTTTGTACGGAGGACTAGGAAAGGTTAGGCTACAAGGCAGATTGCACATTTTAAGGCGCTTATATTGGCCAAATAGCCATGTCATGTCTTGCGCAGCCCTGCCTTCCTAGGGCAAGCTACAGGGCAAATTGCACGCCCTAATATTACAAACAAATAGATTTTTTTTTTTTTTAGGTTGATAAGGAGAAGGGCCCTACAGGGCCAAAACCTTTCATAAGTTCTCCCGTCTCGGAATAGTGGACTAGGCACTTTGAGAATGGGGAGAGGGTAAGAGAATCCCACCCCCAAAGCGCCTCTAGTAGAGTTTGATTCCACAACCTCTTGATTATGAGATACAAACTAACCCACTAGACCAAGCTTGGCTTGGTAAATAAATAGATTAATTGAACCCCATATATGTAGTGTTTTTAATTATATGTACAAGGTTCAAATAATCTACTTGTATTTATTTCTTGAGCCGGGGTTTTCCAACTGCTTTTAACTATTGTAAGATGAGACACTAAGTAAAACACGTAATCAATAATTGCCATCACTCAAATCCAACTTCCTATATAATGTACACAAATGAAGTAGCTAGTCCAAGGAAAGACAAATACGAGTACACTCCAAATCTCCTACTAATTAACAAAGGGGGAAAAAAAAATGGATGTTGAGAAAATCTTTCACATGAAAGGTGGACATGATGAGACTAGCTACTCCAAAAACTCCTCCCTTCAGGTGCTCATATTCTCTCTCACTATTCTTCATTCTTAACAATCGATTTTCTTATTTAATAACATGATGATGATTATAAACAAAGTATTTATTTTAGCTAGTACATAAATTATAATAGAGAGAATTCATGAAATATATTCTTTGCCATATGTATATATGTTCGGATATATTTTTATGTAAATGTTTCCTCTTATCGTACTAGGTTCCTAACACAGTTAGAACTATTAATGTTGTAACCCTGTAAATATCGATCAATGCATATCACTCCAATTTGAGGAGTTTTGCATAATCTAACAAATTATTATATCACACAGAAAAAGGCCTCGGATATGGTGAAACACATAACAATGAAGGCAATTCAAGAAGTATACTTAAACACAACTCCAGAAATCCTAACCATAGCAGACTTGGGCTGCTCATCGGGCCGGAACTCGTTATCAATGATCAGAGATTTGTATCGTGCGGTGCAGGATGCATACCGGAAAAGTCAAATCAACGGTCCAAAATCAGCACCCTCAATTTCAGTTTATCTGAATGATTTACCAACAAATGACTTCAATTCCATCTTCAGGGCATTGCCAGATTTCTTGAAAGATGATAGTATGTTTGAACAGGGGCATTTTAGTCCATCTCTATTTGTTGCAGCCTCACCTGGCTCCTTTTATGATCCTATCTTTCCTCCCAACTTTTTGCACTTCGTTTACTCTTCTTACAGTTTGCACTGGCTTTCCAAGGTAAATTAACTTTTCTTCTTTTCTTTAATCTTTTGATTAAAATATATCATTAATGTATTGCTTATTATGAAGGTAATTTGAGTCAAAATTGGGAAAAAAAATATTGGTAACTCATCAACTTGTTCATCAAGATAACTTCTTTTCAATAACAAGTTTATTCTGATAGAGTAAAAGTAATTAACTAGGTTAGCTAAAGGAAAAAAAAAATTTACATGGAATGAACTCATAAATTATAAAAAAAGAATAAATAAATAAATTCATGCTGAAGTTTTAAATTTTAGGGTTTTTTTTTTTTATTTATTATTTTTTTTAGTCATGTTCTTTTGCCATTTTAAAATACATGCATGTAATGTTTTGACTTTTACAGTTTGACTTCAAATGTTTACTAATATGTAAATATATATTAGTTGTTATTGATGGTTAAATTTAGCCATCGCAAAGCGTGAAAGTTAAACTATGACATATACAAAGTATTTAGAAACAAAGTGATGTGTAGTGTAGTTGTTTCACTTCTATGTTTATTCAAAAGTTTAGCAATATAGACGGATTGAGATTTTTTTTTTTTTTTTTTTTTTTTTTTTTTTTTTGAGGAAAGTACTTATTATTCCAAGTTGAGACAAACAAATTTTTCAAAGAATTAAAATATAATAAATAAAGACTTTGGAAAGTTAGGTTGCCACCACCTCTTTCTCCCCAACCATAAATTTTGCTTAAATTAGACAAGAGTGAACTAGAAAAGCATAACAAATTAACAATCATAAATTGCTTTGATGGATATATAGTCATATATGGACATGAGTTGAGTATATTTTTTAATAAATATCTATGTTTGAATAAGGGATCGGAACCAATTTTCTTCTCTTTCTTCGCATAGAAAAGAGCAGGTATTATTGGCTATTGAATAATCATACAAGACGTACAAAATTTAAAGACACTAACTCATTTTATCAGCGCGATAGTAGATTGATGTTATGCAATAGGTGACCAATTGCCTTAGTTAATCATTATGACAAAATGTATACTCAATCAAATCATTCATCCAAATTAACCATTTGACCTTGTGATTGTGACCACTACAAGTTTTGTTAGGGTCTCCCCGAATGCTCCAACGGAATGAGTCTTTTTCTTCCCCACTAAATGCCCCACTTTAGTGGCTTAGCTCCATCAATAGGATTACTTTAATTTTTACCCTTCGTTTTGTTTTTTTCGGCCAGCACCTTTTTTTCAATAACTGTCTTATAAATAGTTTATTGAGTATTTTCAATTCCTTTATAGACTAGTACGGGTTTAACTACAAATAATTCCAAATGAAATTTATTGATCAACATATAGTATTATGAAATAAATTAAAAAAAAAATGTATTAGATCACTTTATTGAACTTATTAGACCTAATTTAACTCATTAAAATTTATTAAACCTAATTGAACTTATTAAACCCTTTTTAAGGGGCTTTTGGTTCACAGAGTGGTATGAGTTTGAAATTAGGAATGGAGTTAAGATGGTATCGGGTTGGAACTTGATACTTAATACCATATGTTTGGTTCAATTCTAGAATGAAATCTCTCACTATTCCCTTTTTTTATTTGATACCTAAGGGAATGGAATGAGCCAAACCCACCTTCCCCCCTAAAGTGTCTAAACCCCATAGCTCATGGGTTTGAGGTATGGGTTTAAAATTCATACTTTTGACTACCAAACATATGGTATGGGTTTTAGTCATTCTAAACCCATACCTCATACCTATATTCCGCGAACCAAATGCCCCCTTAATGGTTAGAGGTTTAATGCTTTTCTCTAGTGAATTTGATGTAATGGAATGAAATCCCATTAAAGATGTGTTGAGAGTGAAAATCCTTATCCCGGCTCTTTCCCTATCCTTGAAGCAAATGATCTTATTGTGTCAGGACACTCGTACCCTAAAAATTGTAGTAGGAACTAAGTCGGTCCAACAGAGACTATTATTTTACCCTGCTAAAGAAAATGTAACAAGTAGAGTTTTGTAACATGCATCATACTTTTATTAAACATGCTTTTATTAAAGGGTTGATTCACATTTGTGTCAAAAAAAAAAAGATTGATTCACATTTTATATGATCAGGTCCCCCCTAAGATTTATGATGAGCATGGGGAATCCATGAACAAAGATTGCATCTACATATGTGAAAGTAGTCCTCCTACAATAATCGAAGCGTATGCTCAACAATTCCAAGAAGATTTCTCGCGATTTTTGAAGCTTCGATCTCAAGAACTAACCACAGGAGGAAGAATGGTGTTAGTCTTTCTAGGAAGAGAGAGTCCTAACCACATTGATAGAGGCAACTCATTTCTTTGGGAGCTTCTCACTCGATCCTTCGCCTTTTTAATTTCTAAGGTACTCTATTAGTCAGGTTATCGATCCATCCTCTCAAAAAACTTCTCACTTTAAAGTTATGTTTAAACTATGTCTAAACATTATGATTTTGTATTTTATAGGGACAAGTTGATGAGGAAAAGTTGGATTCATATGATATACACTTTTATGCACCTTCCAAAGGAGAAATAGAAGAGGAAGTGAAAATAGAAGGGTCTTTTAAAATGGAAAATTTGGAGATGTTTCAAATAGAAACAGAGGTTGAAAAAAATGGGGTTAGCTATGGAATGGCGGTGGCGAGTACAGTGAGAGCTATACAAGAATCAATGATCAGCCATCATTTTGGTGATGAAATTCTTGATTCCTTGTTTAATAAGTATGCTCAACTTCTTGATGAAGAAATGTCTACGCAAGAAATTAGGCCCATTACTTTTCTTCTTGTTCTTACCAAATTATGATACTCCATTGTAATTAATTAATTACCAACTTAAAAGAAGTATTTGGCGATGTATTGTGATAATCTTACTCTTTAAGTGGTAATTCGTTAGGGTTTTTTTTATTTATTATTTTTTTATTTTTTATTTTTTTTTATGTGCAAAATGACCTTATAATTTACTTGTACTGTTGTACACCCGATAACTCAAATAAACTTATTTCATATTTGGATGGAAAGTTTTGAACATATTGAAAAGCCACTTACCAAATTAATTACGTAGTAATTATATTATTAATAAAAACCATTCACCAAACAGACAATAAACGGATCAAAATTAGACTCATATCGTTTTGTTGACTATAGGCCATCATATATGTGCTGCAAAGCCTGCAATTCAGTGCTACTCAGAATCATTATAAAAACGTGGCCCAATATAAAGTGGTCTATCCACAAACCAAACCCAACATCATTCGAGCCTGTTGGGCCTATTTCTTTCTAAATATTTCGCAGAATTAATAAATGTATATTCGTCAAACTGGACTTCTAATGGTTACATTTACATTAGATTGAGATTCCCGGAAGCAAGGCCCAGCAGGTCAGTTAGGCCCAAAAAACTAATAAATTGGACCGAGAAAAAAATTTATTCGTCAAACTTACATAACAATAATACGAAGTATATTAAGAGCTTTTTATTTGTAATTTATTTTTTAAAAGGTATAGTATATATATTTTGTCAGTTTATCTATAGCTATTTTACACAATGTGAGTTTGACAATAATTTTATGGATACTCAGAATGAAGATTTGAAAACATTAGACTAGAGGGATATTAAAAACAACAGCAACTTTTTAGTGCAGCAGGCCACACCGTGTGGCACGGGTTACCCAAGTTATTTTGTAAGGGGTTATCTGAGTTATTCAGTCAGGGGTTACTCGACTTATTCGGTCAGGGGTTACTTGAGGGGTTCGGACATGAGTTACTCGAGGGGTTCACTCAGTCAAGGGTTACTCGACAGGGGTTACTCGAGTTAATCGATCAACGGTTACTCAGTTAGGGTTATTCGAGAGGTTACTCAGTCATGGGTTACTCAGTTAGGGTTATTCGAGAGGTTACTCAGTCATGAGTTACTCAATTAGGGTTATTCGAGAGGTTACTCAGTCATGGGTTACTCGAGTTACTCGGTTAGAGGTTACTCGAGTTACTCGGTTAGAAGTTATTTAATGAGTTCGATCGGGGTTACTCGAGTAATTCAATCAGGGGTTACTTAAGGAGTTCGGTTAGGGGTTACTTGAAGGTTCAGTCAGGAGTTACTCAGTTAGGGGTTACTCGGTCAGGGGTTACTCGAGGGGTTCGATCATGGATTACTCAAGGGGTTACTCGGTCAGGGGTTAATTTACTCGGTCAGGAGTAACTCAAGTAACCCATGATCAAGTAATTTGAGTAACCTCGGCAACTCGAGTAACCCTGACCGATAAGCTCGAGTAACTAACCCTGACAACTCGAGTAACCCCTGATCGAGTAACTCGAGTAACCCTTACCACACAGTATAGTAGGCCGCATACAAAAAATTGTGTAAAAGGAATGAGAGAATTGGGGATGTAAAGAAATTATTGAAATTGGAAAGTAAATACAAAGTACTTGCTTGAAATAGATGTGTTAAGTTTGTCTCAAATACTCTAAAAATAATGTGTTCAAATCTTCGGAATCATTAAGAGATCAAGATAATTACACTTAATCAAGAAGGGTTTTAATAGTAACCTTTCTAATAGCTTGTTTCAAGTTGTTAGCGCTTAGATAAAATAGCAAATTTTGCTGGCTACTAGCAATCCATCCTGCTAGTAACTCAATAGTAGTACTTGTATTAAAAATCATTATTAAGTTAAAAAAAGTTGCAATGGAACTCTTATATATATAGATTAAAATGACGATTAAGCTAATTTAATCCAAATTGAGAATTTATTGTCGAATACGCTTTGAAAATTATTTCAATTTGTATATGCACGATCCAAGCACGTACAGCAGATCATTGAAGAAACTGGACTACGTACATACACAAGCTTAAGCCAATATAGATGAACATGAAGCAATAATATAATTGAGTTGTCCTTATGAAAGAAAAAGGAGAGCCTATATAAACCTACGTATATACTCTTTCAGTAGCTTTGCAATTGCATTGTCTCACTCAAGAATGAACCAATCAACAAGCCCTTTAAGTTTTACAAAATCTTTGCCATTGAAATGATGTCTCATTATTGACAACTTTCGGTAAAAATAATTAAATAAATTTCTCTAAATTAAAACTTAAAAGGCCGAATAAATTAAAGTAATGTAAACGTACATCTGATCTTCAACTTTATAGAAATAAGCATGTTTAATTTATTCCATAAGGATAAGCCTCGTAATTTGATTTCAATTAGATTTATGTACTTGTGTAGTAGTTGTGTTACCTTTTTAGTAATTCCACAATAATTTCGAATACTACGTTTTTCATAAAATATTGTGGTTATTATTAAATGTGATGAGATGTAATAGGAGGTTGGTTACTTGTCAATCAAGAAAATTATTGTATTTGACCAGCATTTTGATTCAACGCAAGCAACCAACCAACCATATAGTACTATTGTTCTCCACATTAAACTAAAAGGAAAATAGAAAATTAGTGGTACCTTTTTTATATTCTAAGAGAAAAATTTGTTAACAACGTACGTAAAACTAAGATTGTGAATTTTCTGAAGGTTCAATCTCATAATAGTGTTAGCTCACCCCAGTAGCGAATTCAGAAATTTATAAATGGAGGGGTCTAAAATAGTTTCCAACTTAATCATAACAACGTACGAAATAATTAAAAAAAAAACTTTTTTTGCATTTTTGAACAAACTAATCCAAAGTTTCTTTTTTCTTTCATCAACTATCTTCTCACTAATAAAAAAAGTAGAATACTTTAAATAATTAGAAACAACTAGTCAATTTGATATGTTACCCTCGTTTCATATTATTTGCAACAAAGTGCATTATTTATGAGACATAAAATATTCATTTACTGTAAATAATATGAAACTGATGTGGTTCTAAGGCATCAATACTGTTATTTTAATTATTTTAATGTTATTTTTAATTTTATTATTAGGTGACCAAATTTATTAGGATATTTTTGTTAGTTTAATTCGGTTAGTAGAAGATAAGCTTAACTTTAAAGATCATATTTGCAAAATACACTACTATAAAAAAGGGCTTAGAGAACGGTTAGAATAGCCTTTATAGAACGCCTTAGGATTGTTCTTCTGCTAAGCGATGTGTAAAGTATAGAGAACGGGTTAAATAGGCGTTCTATGTGCTGACTGATAGAGAACGGTTGTTAATCACAATTGTTCTCTTTTCCTTTCCTAAAATCGTAAAATGATGAAGGAAAAGAGAACGGTTAGGCTACTTAATTGTTCTATATAAGCATGATGTAGAGAATATTTCAAATATCAACTTTGAGCCCCACTGTGATCATACAGTTAAGCATGGTGGCGTCCAAAGGGAAAGAAATTAGAGATAAAAGAGTCGCCAACAAGTTGTAGGAACTTGTAAATCGTTCACGGGTGTGAAGGTTACACCCCATTCACGATCACGGAGATCGCTAACTCCATAGTGGTCCGAAACCATGACTAGATATTCGGGGATGATGGTACAAATCCAACCTAAAAGAGATTGAATCTGCCCCCTAAATCTCCCTCTACTTAATTCTTATGATATTCATGTGCGCTTTCCGATCAACATACATCCAACAAGTAAACCCTAAACCTGTTTATTCTATGTTGGTTGATTATTAATGCAAAAAATATAAATCTATTATTGGCGATCACTTGAATTAAAATCATATTAAGCCTAAAACAAATTATTAATTATCTTATTAGGCGTGATTCAAGTACAAATTCCCTTTAAACCTGTAGGAAAGGGGCGTGATCAAGCAATAACAATAAAATCATAAATAATCAAGCAGCATAATATTGACACAACAATCATCATGATAATAGTCATCAAAATAATATTAGCAAGCTCCTAGGCATGATACTAACGGATTAATAACAAACTATAGCATGTCACTAGACAATAAAGGTCAAAGCTTTAACTTAAACAAGATGCTAGAAAGCATGATAATATTAGAAATATTAAAATAACCCTAACATGATACTAGAAATCATAAATAAACATCCTAACGTGATACTAGAAATCATAAATAAACATCCTAACATGATACTAGGAATTAAATAATATTCTAAGCATGATTTCTATATCAAAATCAAGGAATAAAGATAGTAGATCTACTCACTTTGATGCCTCGTATCTCTTTCTATCAAAACAATACACACGTTAGTAACTTCAAGAAAGACATAATCAAACAAATAAATCAAATAAGAATTGAAATATAGATTTGAGACCAAACCCTCAGAAATATCAACCTTTCGTGTCGAGGTCGAAGGCAACTACGAGAAGGGCTTGGAGTATTCAAGTCTCGCAAAGGACGTGGGGTGTGATGTGTTTAGGCTAGGCTTAGAAAGAGAGAGAGAAGCTTATAGCTTATAGAGGGAATTAGATGATGATTGTTGGTGAATGAAAAAGGAGGAAATCGTCCCCTATTTATAGAGAAAAACGACTGAAAAGATTAGAAAACGATCTGAATTCCATCCAGAATAAAATAGGTTTCATCGCGTGGCGATGGATTCATCGCGTGGCGATGGATTCATCGCGTGACGATGGATTCATCGCGTTGCGATGGGGATATCGCTGCGCGATGCTTTCATTGTCGTGCGATGGATCCATCGCTGCGCGATACTTTTCAGAAGATAAGACTCGTACAGAATCCGACTTTCAATGAAATTGGGTTAGTCGAATATCCGTACTTATCCTTATTTTATCATAATTAAACCTATTAAAAACACTCGTTTTATTCGAAATAAAATTCTTAATCATTATCTTTTCAAAACAGGATAATTAGAATCTAAAATATTCTTCTAAAAGATTCTAGAAGATTAAGATAAATCCTAATGATTTTAGAAATATATTGGTCCCTCCACATGATCACCGGGTCCGCATATAAAGCTCGGTTTGGGCCCATTTTAGTATTTTGGCCATAACTTCCTCGTTATAACTCGGATTTGGGCTTATAGTATATCGTTGGAAAGCTATTTTCAAGCCCCATCCAACTACACAATAATTGGACCCAGATTATGGACCAAAATTAACTGGATTGGATGTTTTCATAAAGAGGACACGAAATGAATGATTTCAAAGACACAAAATGAACTATTTTGGCTAAAAACATTTAAAGAAAGGGTTAGAAAGGGGAAATTCACGAGACTGTTCAACTCTTCACCTAACTCAATAATCAAAGACGTGAAAGGTACTCATCACTGGGTTTGGTTTTTGGGGAGACACAATTAGGTGTCTACACATGGTGTGGTTGGATGGAGACATATTCTTTTAGTTCATGTTCGATTAATTTGGATGATATCTTGGTTCCATGCTTTGCTAAAACTTGGGACAAGTTTTTTCAAGAGGGGGAGTATGATGTGGTTCTAAGGCATCAATATTGTTATTTTAATTATTTTTATGTTATTTTTAATTTTATTATTAGGTGACCGAATTTATTAGGATATTTTTGTTAGTTTAATTCGGTTAGTAGAAGATAAGCTTAACTTTAAAGATCATATTTGCAAAATATTATCTTTACAAGTTAAGGTTAGTTTCCTATTTAGATTAGAATTTGTTATGCACGACTTTTAGGCTAATTATTTAGCTTATAAATACTTGATGGTGTTTAACGAAAAGTATGATTGATTGATTTGAAATTTATAAAGTTTTACGTAAGCTTGTGCTTGTGTATTCTTGGCCTTGTTAAGGTTTAAAGCTCGTGTTGCTTAGTGTTTCTTGACCGAGACTCAAGATCCCAAACCTTTCAACCGAGATTGAAGGTTATATCCATTAAAATCCATATGAGAACGGATGTAGTAAATTAAATCTAAAATCAATTGATTACCTAAGTCAAGCACTCACTCTAGTACTATAAAGTATACAATCTCAATCAATCAAATGCACAAAGTAAAGCTATAAATAAACAAAGAAGATCTTTTAGATTCGGAGAGAATTTAAAACTCCCTCGAAAGAAAGGGCGGACTCCCTCGCGGTAAAGGTCGATACCACCACTGCTCGTGGTTTTTCTCCGACTACTATGGCCGACGAATTAATTGAACGCTATTCGAAACTCAACATCGAGGAGGAAGAGAACGAAATTGTTGACATTGGAGCAGTTTATATCTCTAAACAAGATGCTAGGGTTTCCTTAATGCTTGTTGGGAGACTCTTGACTAGCAGGGGCGTGAACTTTAAAGCTTTTAAGCGAACCATAACTCAATCATGGGCTATGAAAGGAAAGGTTGTAATCAGGAATATTGGATCGAACCTATTCGGATTCCAATTTTTCCATTGGCGTGACAAAGAGAAGGTTTTATCGGGTCCTCCCTGGTGTTTTGAGCAGAATTTTTTTGATACTGAATAACATCAATGGAGATGAGCAACCGAATGAGGTGAAACTAACACACTCCCCTTTTTGGATTTGTATTGAAAATTGGCCTTTCAACTGTAGAACCGATGCCCATGTTAAGGCAATTGCAGTGAATTTGGGGGAATTGATTGAAATTGAAGAAGATGAGTTTGGGATTGGGAAGAATAGGAGGATTAAGGTGATGCTAGATGTTAACAAACCTCTGCGTCGATTCCAGAACATTAAAAATAGGGAAGGCAATATTGTTAGAGTTAACTTTAAATATGAACGACTCCTTTTTTTTCGTTTCTTATGTGGTATGATGGGCCACAGTGAGAAAGATTGAATTAATGTGCCCGAGGATATGAAAACGAGAGGAATGGGGTGGGGGACTTGGCTGAAAGCTTCTCCCAGAAGGGGGAGGAAACTAAAGTCAGAGGAGATGAAGTTGTTGTGTAGGGTAAAGAAAACTTTGTTCATTACAAAGCAATCTGAAGAGAGTAATATGAGGGAGAGAGGTGAGTTGGGGAAGGTGAAGGAGGGGGGGTTTGGAGATACAAGAAGTGGGGCAAAAAATTTCAGAGGGTGAGGGATATTCGATTGGCAGTGAGGTGGGGGATGAGAGTGAGGGGAATGGCCAACTCCTGTTGACAAGTGTGGCGGACCAGGGAAGTGAGCAGTAGGGTACTATGGTAGTTGAGAGTAGTACAGGGGTGGATAGCAGAGAGATGGTCACAATTTTCAAATAGGGGTGGGGTATTCTAAGACTCACAATGTGAAGAGAGTTAAGAAAAAAGTGCGACCCCCATTAGCTAAGGACCTGGAAAGTAGTGATATGGCTGTAGATGAAAGGGAAGGAAAAAAGAGAAAGAATGAGATGGCTGGTGAGATTTTGGAGTTTGGTGAAAACTCTATTGAAGTCAAAAAACCAAAGTATGATAGTGGGGTTTTGACAAAGTTGACAAGAATTTGAAGTAGCAGAGGTTGGCCTAGACCAACCCTGCGAACAACAATGAATTTTTTATGTTGGAACTGTCGGGGGATGGGCAACCCTGTGACAGTTCGAAAGCTCTGGAAGTGGAGTATGCATATTTCCCCTGATCTAGTTTTTATCTCAGAAACTATGATTAGTAAGGAAGCGGTGGAAATGAAAAAAGGGAGAATTGGGTTCTCTAATGCTTTTAGGGTGGCTAGTCAAGGTAAATCAGGGGGACTTTGTTTGTTCTGGAACGAAGAAGTGACTGACTTCTCACTTGTTTCTTTTTCGCAAAATCACATTTGTGGTGATGTGAATAAAGGGGAGGTGACTTGGAGATTTGTTGGGATATATAGATGGCTGGATAGTGGAAATAAGTTTCGTACTTGGGCGCTTATTGAACATTTTTGTAGAGATGTTGATGTGCCAATCATCTTTGGTGGAGACTTTAATGAGCTACTTTCACATGAAGAGAAGGACGGGGGCTCGGATCGAGAAAGGAGTGAAATTGCTAAATTTAGAGAAATGGTGGACACTTGTGAATTGAGGGGCCTTGGTTTCGAAGGACAATGGTGGACTTGGGAACGAGGGAATTCAATAGAAAGTTATGTTCGAGAGCGGTTGGATCGATATTTAGCCTCCCCTTCTTGGATGGACTTATTCCCTAATGCTTATGTTGAGCATTTGCTAAGGCATAGTTCGGATCATACTCCCATAGTGGTTCGTACTAGGCCTAGAGACAAGCAGCAAAAAAGACCGAGGAAAAGCTTCAAATTTAAGACAGCGTGGCTCTTGGACACCTCATGTGAAGCTGTGATCAAGGAAGCTTGAAGTTCTAATATGTGTAGCGACGTTATGATGAAAATGAACATTATGGGGGGTGAGTTGATGAAATGGAGCAAGAAGAATTTTGATGATATTGGGGGCAAGATTGATAAATTAGAAAGTGCTCTAAAAGAGCTTCAACAGCAGCCCAATACACGCATAAATTGTGAGGATCGTGTGACTCTTGAAGCTACATTAGATGATCTTCACTCGAAGCACAAAGCTTATTGGTTTTTAAGGTCTAGGGTGCTAGAGGTACGGGATGGGGATTGAAATACTAGTTATTTTCATCACAAGGCCTCACAAAGGAAGAAGAAAAATCGGATTGAGGGGCTTTTAGATGCTGATGGGGTATGGCAGAAGGATGAGAGGAATATCGAAAAAATTGTTTGTGGCTAATACTTGAATCTGTTCACTACCACTGATCCTTCGAAGGCTAGTATGGATGAGGTGCTCCACCATGTAAAATCAGTCATCTTTAAGACTGATAATGCAGCTCTGCTTAGACCGTACACAAAAGAGGAGATTTTCTTGGCTCTGAACCAAATGCATCTGTGAAGGCTTCGGGTCCTGACGGCGTTCATGCAATTTTTTATCAAAAATTTTGGCACATAGTAGGGAGTGATGTTGCAAATTTCGTGAGCAGCATTTTACAAGATAATTCTTCTCTAAGCTTTGTAAATAGAACTAATGTTGCTTGATTCCGAAAGTTGATACGCCTACTTGTATGTCTGAATTTCGGCCTATTAGTCTCTACAATGTCTTGTATAAGCTTGTGTTGAAGGTTATTATTCTCCGCTTAAAATCCATTTTTCCGGATAGTCACAGAAAATCAGCGTGCTTTTGTTCTGGGACATTTGATTACAGATAATTCACTTATTGCTCTTGAAATTTTTTATACTATGAAGAAGAGGAGTCGGAGCAGAAAAGGTACGATGTCCCTCAAGCTTGATATGAGTAAGGCTTATGACCGGGTTGAGTGAGGGTTTTTTGAGAAAGCTATTGCTCACAAAGGGATTTGATGGTAGATGGGTAAATTTGATTATGGATTGTGTTATGATTGTTTCATACTCTTTTATTATTAACGGGAGAGTATGTGGTTCGGTATTCCCAACCGGGGGGTACCGTCAGGGTGATCCCCTTTCTCCTTATTTGTTTATTCTAGTTGCTGATGCTTTCTCCCATATGTTGAATAACAAAGTCCAGGAAAAGGTGATTCATGGTGCTAAGGCGAGTAGGAGTGGCCCTGTTATTTCCCATTTTTTGTTTGCCGATGACAGTTTATTATTTGTTAGAGCGAACCGACGAGAATGCGAAATTATAGTTGATATACTCAACCAGTATGAAGTAGCATCCGGGCAAAAAATTAATTATGAGAAGTCGGAGGTTTCCTTTAGTAGTGGAGTTAGCGACGAACAAAAAGATGATTTGATGGGGGTTTTGAATATGAGACATGTGGAGAGACATGACAAATATCTAGGGATCCCCACGGTGGCAGGGAGGTTGAAAAAAGCCATTTTTGAGGCGCTCACTAATAGAATTTGGAAGAAGTTGTAGGATGGAAGGAAAAGCTTCTTTCAAGAGCCGGGAAAGAGATTTTGCTTAAATCAATTATACAAGCCATTCCAACTTATTTAATGGGAGTCTACAAATTCCCTAGTTCGGTTACTCATAGCATTCGAATGGTTATGGATAGATTCTTTTGGGGTCAATGGAATGCTCAAAGAAAGATACATTGGAAAGCTTGGGATTCAATGTGTGCTCCGAAATGCTTGGGAGGTATGGGATTTAAAGACTTGGAGGTGTTTAATGATGCTTTACTCAGGAAACAAGCTTGGAGACTCGTTCATAAAGAAAATTCTTTGCTTAGCAAAGTCTTGAAAGGCAAGTAATTGGAATAGTAAAGCTACTCTTGGAGAAGCATTTGGAATAGTAAAGCTCTCGTTAAAGAAGGCACCATATGGAGAATTGGGAGTGGGAAGGAGGTGAATTTATGGCGAGAACCCTGGCTGGCTGACTCGGAGGGCAGGTTTGTTACAAGTTCAGAGGTGGTGGGCTTTTCAACTGTAAGTGACTTGATTGATGAACATTCGAGAGAATGGAAGACTGATATTATAGCTGATATTTTTAATGAGCTTGATCAAAAATGTATTCAGGCAATTCCGGATAACTCTATGGTAACCAAGGATATGTTAACATGGGCGTTTACTAAGGACAGGTTATACTCAACAAAAACAGCTTATATGTTGGGGAAAGGCTGTAATCTTGACGATTTTCACCAAGCTTGGGTGGAAATCTGGGGTATGAATGTATTGCCAAAGGTATGTCACTTTTTGTGGAGAGTGTGCACGAATTCGTTACCCACAAAAGCCTTGCTGAACCGCTGTCATTTAATTGAAGATATTATTTGTCCTTGGTGTGGTTTGCAGGAGGAAATAAGTTCTCACGCACCCTTTGATTGTGTCCGAGTTCAGGAATTGTGGGAGGAGAGTAAATGTGGAGACCTTTTAATAGATAGGAGAGGGAATTGGTGTGATTTGATTGCTAGATGGAAGAACACGGATGGCAAATTGAAACAGAAAGCAGCATTTCTGATGTGGATTATATGGGGTGAGCGCAATAAAAAGATCATTGAGAGAACTACTACCCCAAATGATGTGTTTCTTGCGAGATTGGTTTGATTGGTTGAGGAGTTTGATTGTCATACAAAGAAGATATATGACATTCGTTAGCTGAAACCAAAGAAGAGTCCTACCAGGTGGTTACCTCCGCCTTTGGGGGTAATTAAAATTAATTAAGATGCGAGGTTGGCTGAAGAGGGTTGGATAAGGAGGGGTGTGGTAGCGCGAGATAGCAGAGGGGAGGTGAAGTTCTCGGCCTGCAGACGAGTGAGGGCTTGGTGGCCTGCTGAAATAGCAGAAGGCAAAGCTCTTGTTATGGCTATTAAGCTCGCTAGAAGGTAGGGGTTTAAGGACGTCATTCTTGAATTAGATTGTGAAGTCCTCATCAATAGGCTTACAAAGGCAGCAGTGTTCTTCTCAGACTTTGATGGTGCTCTTGAAGATATCATCTCCTTGAGTAGCTACTTCTCTTCTTTCTGTTGGGCTCATGTAAATAGGGAGGGAAATTATGTTGCTCATCATTTAACTAGAATCATACCTTATGGAACCGAGCAAATGTGGATTAATCATTGTCCCACGTCAATCGCTCCGTATGTACTCTCAGACACTATGTCTCTTGATTGATAAATTTTGGCTCGTCGCTCTTTCCTAAAAAAAAAAAAGAAAAAAAAAAGTAAAGCTATAAATAGTTTGAGGCCTTTGAGTTTGAGTCTTGGAAAAAGGAGACTTGGAGAGAGAAAAAAAAGATAAGAGGTTCACGTGAGAAACCAACTAAGAATTTAAAAATTAAAAAAAATAAATAAATAAAATTTTGGTTTCCTATTTTCATGTGACATATGAGAATAAGAAGTAGAGTTTGTTAGCAAATGAAATATGGATATTTGGAATGGGTCCAAATTTTTGGGCTTTTTTAAAAAAGGAACTTGGGTCTATAGACTTAATTTGTATTTTTTCACAAAATGGGGATATAGATGCTCCCTAAGAGGGCTTAATAGGTCCACCCATGGCTCTCCCCAAATCACAAAGATAAATCGAAAATAAAAAAACGTGTATACTGAATAATTTCGATGATCTTCATTTTGATGAAGTCTAAACTTAACTAAAACTGTACTACGTAGTAATTAAGAATGTCATAAGATATAATAGCGTCTTTTTGTACATTTATTTTAGAATAGCAACTTCCGCGTACTTTCATTTTGTTGATTCAACACGAAGTAAAGGATTTAATTAAGATAATTAGTGACATCGATAGCATCTTAAAAAGAAGGTTAAGGAATAATGATTTGCATTTTGTTATATGTAATGGTGATCATGTGAAGCTACGGCAATTAGGGACCCAAAGGATAGAAAGACTATTTGTGTCTTTTTATGAAAAAAATTGACAAAATAATATTGCGATGGTGCGTGGTTTCTCTTTTGAACTCACACACTAATTAATTTATCAATTAATAAGGATAGATGGCTCCATTAAGTACCTTCTTCTTTGCATAAACGGCCAATTTAATTGTAATTAATACACTAATACATGGGATACCACTGATTATCCATTAGATATATGTAACACTTTTGGACAAAAAAAGTTTGTAAATTATGGCTTTAATCTGTTTTTAGACTTTTGTGATAGTTGCACTCGCCACTAATACTACCACATAATCTAATTTAATCATAAAAGTGGGCTAGGACTATATTGAGATTATATGCTTTTCCAAGCTAGTGGGACCTCGATATTGTTATTATGTGGAGTAGTCTTTAGCACTTAGTAAAACAAATTAAATTCAAAGCTAACAAATTTATATTCTTGGGCCGCTTTCAATAATTTTTTTTATGTATTAAATCGATTAATTCTAGTTATAAGTTGGCTTGTTTTTCTAAATTACATTGATTCTACGCAGTATGTTAGGAATAATTAGACTGAAATTTCATTCTGAAATCTTTTTAAATAGGAAAAACCGATTTTCACTTCTATTTAGATATAATTATTTGAAACTTTATAAACTAAAAGATTTTTTGGTTCATGATTTACACAAATCCTTGTAGCATATAATATTGCTCCTCTTAATTTCCTTATTATAACCTTTCATTCCATGATTTTGTTCACGTACGAACAATATTTAAGGTTAATTATTGTATGGTTTTAAAATCTGTAATATGGAAAAATTACATTGCATGATAAGGATCAAGGTAGCTATGTATTATAGGACACAGCTTATACTCTGTATCAAAATTGTGATGATTATTCATTATTTGCCTGCCTCACTCTCCAGTAGTCAAGTGAGTAATAAGATTCGACAGATAGTCCATGCATGTTTGTTTATATCAGGCATCGTCGTTTAGTGTTACACAGTTTTGGTTCCATCTTCTTTTAGTTGAACTACTCGTATTTTAAAAAAAGATTTCAAAATACAAAATACTCGTATAAATATTTATCTCTACGTACAATGATCCAGTAGAACTCAAAAAATGAAAAGACAATATATTGTTAGAGTTATGAGAAAGAGAATGTTGGAAAGCTTGAATTATATATTATGTGTTCTATGACTCTATGAGTATATATATTACATGAGTAAGCAATAGAATGCAACTAGATACATTTTAGCATTTGACTAGTTACGTTAGTTAAGAGTTAGGGATATGTTTGACTATCAACCTGAAAGAGTAGGGATTTACATAATCTAAACAATAACCAATAATAATGAAGATGATATAATCATCATTATCCTTTACACACCCCCGCAAGACGGACGTTCAGAACGAAAGACCGATCTTGGATATAATATCGCAAAACTTGTTCAATGTAGGAATTGAAATGTAGTAGGAGAGAAGGGTTGCATTATTACATTGTCATTCTCCAAGAGGATTTAGAGAGAGTCGAGCATTAGGTTTTTTTTTTTTTTTTTTTTTTTTTTAATAATTATTATTATTATTAAGGGAGAGAAAGAAAGAAATGATTTTTTTTTTTAAAAAAATAAAATAAAAGAAGCGTATAAAAAGAGGTTTATTATTATTTATTTATTTTTGGGGGGAGGGGGCGGGGGAGGGAGGTGGGCTGCTTGTAGCTATATAGGAGTTCTTTTTAGAGAAAAAAAAATATTGAGATATACAGGAAGGAGATGAAATTGTGGCAGTTTTTCTAGAAGAAGAATTACATATTATCATCATTGAAAGAGAGGAGTTTGGGTTTCCCCATAAAAGTTTGGAGATCGAATTGAGTTTATGTTTGGCAACATTTGGTAGATAGATTACAGAGGCCAAAAGGGATTATATCTTCATAAGGGGTTTGGAGGAAAAAAAAATAAAAATAATTGATAATCGACATCTCTTGGTAGATGAACTACTAGTTGTCAATAGATTGAGCGGAAATTTGATTTGGGTTTGAAGCTTTCCGGGTAAGAAGTACAAGTATGGTCACCATTATTTGTCAGTGTCGGCAAAAGTTTTTGATAGTGTAGCCATGGAATAAAAGGATGTAGTAGCGAAAGTGGATAAAGAATGGATCAATAGCTCATGATACCATGATAGAGTCATGAGAAAGAAAATGTTGAAAAACTTGAATAATACTATGTGATTCTATGACTCTATGAGTATATATAGTACATGAGTAAGCAATAGAATGCAACTAGATACATTTAAACATTTGACTAACTTAGCTACATTAGTTAAGAGTGGGATATATTTGACTATCAATCTGAAGAAGTAAATTAAGGGATTTACATAACGTAAACAATAACCAATGATAATGAAGATGATATACTCATCATTATCCTTTACATGTATTTAGCGTCTTAAATATAATAGCCAAAGTAACCATAGTCTATAACTCTTTCGTTGTCTAGAAGGGTTGTGATTTAATATAGAGTGGGGCAATTGCTTTCTGATAGGGAAATTGGTGCGGCAGATTAGACAAGTAAAAGTAGTTTTTCTTATACCAATAGAAGATAAAATACGGCAATTATGTGCTAACATAATGATGATCCTTTGATTTCAACAATCAATCTTTTGAGTATTTTGTTAATTAACTATCAAACCATATCTATCTATCTTTGTCAATGCTTGGAAGCATGCATGTCCCTTTTAACTTTTATGTCTTCCCTGCCATCTTTCCATGTTTTTCTTTTCCCTTTCCTTTCCTTTATCACAGTACAAAACCTTTGGATTTTGGCATTAATTCTGCAGATTTCTCTTTATTAGATTCATAAAATTACTCCTATAAAGTTTCATTTCATATATACATCTTAATAATTCAGATCAAAGTAACTTTTTAATAAAACACTTTCACAATGATAATACTACGAGACAATTAGTCATAATAAGTTAAATTAATTAGGCAAATTAAATAATAATAAAAAAATCAATACGTATATGATAAAATACACGCAAGTTTGAGTGTCACAACAATAATGCTCGGAATTAAATTCAATCACCGCAGGTTTAACATGGATGCATGTGAATATGTAATCATGTGCCCTTTTACACGTGCTCATGTGGTGCGTGTGCTTTGGGGTGCAACATTTGAATTCGTTTTTCAGTGATTCAGATTAGTGTACATAAACTAATTTGCTATTTAAGTTTTAAGAAGATGATTAGATATAGCCTTTCTAAACCTAAATCATATATCGCACTTTATTAGCTTTATATGAACATCAAGTTACCAAATAACTACTCCGTATTATATGGAGTATATTCATAGGGTGCAATATTGCTATATGAATAGGCTTAGATATGTTTATATGCAAATCATAGACCCAAAAGGTTTAAATGGAGCAAATGTCCCCATATTGGACGTCCCCCCATAATGTGTTGACAAGCAATGTAAGGGAACCGAGGCTTAATCTTTGGTATCGTTCCCATGTGAGAGAAGTGACAAAGTTGAAACAATTTCCTAATTACATGACACTAGGTTAACTTCTCGGTTCTTACATATGTAGTAAAGTATCTAGCTCAATTCTTTTTACTCTCGTATTCACCTATCATCTTTTTATTTTCAGAAAATTAAATAAAAGATAAAAGAATTGTAGATTAATTACTCAACGATAAGCACTATTTCGATGCTAGTGTGATTTGTGAATTTGATTCCAAAGGACAAGGAACTAATTCCAAAAGTTCTTTTGAATTGATTTGTGGAAATCAATGTGTTTATTAAAATCAAACTACTCTCGTCGGTATATCTTACAGGTGAAAAGTGAAATTGATAACACATATTTTTAATCACTAGACTTTTATTTACTCCGTAATTGACATAATATGAATAATTTTTTTAGTGTAAGTAAAAAAGAGTCGTAAACAAAATTTGATATCAATTTAAGTTATTGCCTATAAAGACTTTAAACAAATAAGACATTTAAAGATTAAACATTCAAACAGTTTGAAAAAAATAAAGAAAAGAATTATGTTGTTTGATAAGAGTAGACAATAATTTCAAATTTGAAGCTTTATCTTAATTGTTTACTTTGCCCTATACAGCAAACTTCTAACATTCAACAAACTGATACTATTAATCGAAGTAATTAACTAATACAATTAGATGGTTAGATACATACTTTCAACAAGCTCGAAATAATCCAATCCACACGAGGCCGAAACAAAATCACAAGTATCCCAATAACAATTCCAATTAGTATTATATTCGAAATTAATCTCCCTCGGACAATGAATATATTGTCCACTGTATTAAACTCATACATACTCCTAATCCGTACTCGTAGTAATCAAGTTCTAGGACTAATAAAAATTAAAAAAAAAAAAAAAAAAAAAGTTACAGAAGAGCTCAGAAATTGAACACTCTTGGATCAAAGTTGCAGCACTTCACTATACATAGTCCAAATAGTACGTTAGTACTACTACTACCATATCACTGACATCATATAATGACAAACGTTTTGCAGCAGAAATTAGCTGAAAAACTTCCCCCTAAATACTGGAAATAAACAAAAATAATTAAGAAATTATCTCAATTATTTTTTTTTTTTTTTTCGTTTTTTGTATTTTTGGGGAAAACAATTCTCTGCTTTTTTTTTTTACTCTCTTCTAGGCTTGGCCATGGAGAACGACAGAAAGCCGCTCTTCACGATGAAAACTCACCTGCTTCGCTATGAACGCCTCTATCGTTCGCCGGAATTCGTCGCTACTCATCCCATCTTCCATCAATTCCTCCGCCGTCGCCGCCGCCGTCGATTCATCGCCGGTGAAACTTCTCCAGTAAATATCCGTCTCTGATCGTCGGAGCTTCTCCTGCTTATTCTCTACACACTCTCTCTTCATCATATTCTCCGATTGACTCCGCCGATAACTCACTTCCTTCTCATCGGAAAAAACCGTTTCCGGTTTCTTCTCATCGGAAAAATACGCTTTCGGTTTTATCTCATCGGAAAAAACCGCTTTCGGTTTAATTTCCTCCAGAACTAACTTAGAAACCAGCGGTTTTTTTACATTTTCCTCGCAAATAATCTCTTTATCCTGGTAAACTATCTCTTCCTTACCCAAAACAGGAATATCATCATCATCTTCGGATCGGAACTCGTCGTAAAGTTCGGCGACGGCATTGTCAATTGACGACGAGCAATCGCCGGAAAACAAGCCGGATTTCGCCAAAAGAGTAACCACAATAGCGTTTCCGAGTAGAAAAATTGAGGTAGGACATAAAATCAAAGAGACAAGTTTCCGAAAATACTCGCCGGAAATTCTAACGGCGAAAGGAAGATGAGCTGACAACCAAGAGAGAAAAACGAGAACAATGCAGACCTCAACAAACCGGAAAAGCTTCGCTAAACTCTGAAGTTGTCGGCATAACTTCATCAATGAAGAATCCATGAATTTACAGAGGAGAGAGAAAATTGGAGAAGAAGAGATTTGAATTGGAAGGAGGAAATGTGGAAAACGGGAGAAATAGAAAAAGGAGGGAGAGAAAGAAAAATGGTGAATAAGCTGAAATAGGAGGAAGAGACAAGTTTCCGAAAAAGAGGGAGCTGAAATAGGAAAAATATAATGTGGGTATTGTGGGTGTGGTGGGGGGAAAAGGGAGAAGAGGGAGAGTGAGAGTGAGAGTGAGAGTGTGCGCAATTACTTGAATCACACTTACAAACAAAACTTGAACCCTTAAATTAGACAGCCCTTTTTCTCCTTTTATAGACCGCAAATTTCAAATTTTTTTGTTCTACATTTCAACCAGTATAATCTCATCTTTACTCTTCCTGTTATTTTTTTCTTCACTAATGTCATGTGAAATTGTAATCAATGCATATTCAATATTTAAACTTATCTCGATTTTACTTACAATTTTAAATAGATGGTACTTGCTCCATAATAAATTTTGTCTAGCATATTAAGTTAAATAATACTTCGTATGTATATATTACTCTGAAATGAATTTGTATTATAATTAGAGAATGATCTTATCAGAGTCTAATGTCTATCAGTGGTGATTTGACAATTCAACTCTTATCCTATGAAGTACTAAGTGCGCACTTAGATTCTCAACCAAGACCAAATCTAAGTGTAAGAGACTAATAAAGTGTATATAAACTTGTTAGATCTTTTACTACTCCGCATTGATAAGAGGTAAACTAATAATCTAAACACCCTATGAATCTAGTAAAAGCAAGAAAATTATCAAATTTAGTTACTTAATTGTAAATTAAAGTGGATCGATGCTTGATGAAATCAAATGACCTCATTAGTTATACAAATTGGAAATATAGATGAAGATGCAATTGTACTTGGCTTATCAAATGTGTATTTTGGCTCTCATATAGTGTACGTATTGAAGGTGGAAACAAATAGAAGTCGCAATCAAAACAAGGGAACAGAAGCCCAAATCAAAGGAGGGGTCTAATGCAAAAACACAAAAGGTGGGATCAAACATAGTGATAGGCCCAGCTGTATGAAAATGATGAGTTAGAGTTAGTCTTTTTCATATACTTGTAACTTGTACAAAACTACAAACTAGCTTAGTCGTCGTAGCGCAGCTGATTGTTATTTATAGTTGTGGTGGGCGGCCCCCTCTTATGTCTCACTGATTTCACTGCTTATTGTTACAATTGTGGTTTGGATAGTTGGATTCTTCGTGGAAAAAGGAAAAGCCTGGTTTATTACGAGAGCAAGTGCTACGACGTACTAGTATATGTTAGGCTAGGTGTTGTTTGTTATACCTTAAAACATACACGTGCCTAGCTTAATTATTTAGAGGCTTTTAAGTTATACAGTAATCCCTAACCCTGACTTTGAAGGAATACAATACATGTACGACCTGGGTATAGCCGAGAACACTTTAAATGAAATTAAAACCTTCATTCAGTTAGCTTTATGATTGGAAGGTAAAAGCTTTACCATTAAATTTGGAATAACTATCACTCTGTCCCTAAAACATTGTCCTACATCTTCATTTTAGTTTTTTAGTGTAAACGTTTTCATATATAGTGGCACAATTATTGATGATGAGAGAAATAAAGAGAGTAAATTAGAATAATCTTTTAGAGACAGAGGGAGTATAAAACAATGTTTTGAATCTTACTTTGGTATAATTTGAAGTGGGAAGCTAAAACGGTAAAGATGGAATAAAAAGGGGAAACGTTGTCTTGTAGTTTAAAAGAACGTAGGAGAAGAGAGCAGGGCGGATGAGTGTTTTCACGTGAGTAGAGAAGTAGCAGCAATAAAAAAACAGAGGGTGTCTCTACTATCTAATGATCCATAATCCGTATAGTGTTAGGGTAGAAGGGCACCGTTACCCTCTTGGACTGCCCTCCAACTATCCAGTTCGCATCTCTCATAGCTTCAATTTGGCCACCCCTATCCTTTTTTCATTTTATATTGCACGACTGCTTTGCGTGGTCCAGACATTCTTATAGGATCCCCCCTCACCACTTCCCCAATCTCTCCCTCGCCTGCCCCTATGTCTTCCTTTTGGTGTTTGCCAGTCGGGGCCGTGACAAGTTTTTACATATACGGTCTATAGTTCTATACGGATTATTATTGTACTCCAAGGTCTCCAACACTTTTTTTTTTTTAGTTTTTACGCTTATCAATATACTTTGTATTTTTCATTAAATATGTGTAAAATTTATACCACCTCCGTTAATTATTATGTGCAACTTTAGATTTTTTTTATATCTCACAAATAATACCTCAAAGTTGCACATAATAATTAATAGAGGTAGTACTTGTATAATGTTGGGCCTATAAAGTTGATCGTTTGCTTCGACTGACCTACAACACGCCCCAATATGCTCTTGAAACTCACGGTACACATTATAATTATAGCCTAATACATGTCTGGTCTTTTTGTCAAACTAAACACTCTAAAACAATTTACTTATTATCGTGTTTGAAATAATAATGAACATAACATATAATAGCATAAAATTGTAATTAATATTGATTCTGATTACTCTTTATGATTTAATTTTATAAGGCCAAATATAGTATGTCAGGAATCAAATGTACAAGGTGAAAGCATGGAAAGTGCAAAAGAAGGGTTGGAGTTGATTCCGTAAAATGCTATGTTTAGTACTCCGCATAATAAGATGCAGCATGGTAGCAAGCTACGGTGTAGCAACTAACACTAGCAACTTGGTCAAGATGATAAAAGAAGCAAATATGTGTATATTTAGCTAAAAAATGCTCTCCAGCTGATCTTAACCCTAAAGAGTTCCCTCCTCCCCCTTTTACGTCCAATCATGCATGCAAATTGCAAAGGACCAATTACCATTTCTTTTCTTTTTTTTTTTTTTCCTTCCTTTTTTGGGAGATTTCGAATTTCCCTCTACGCCTCTTGTGACTTAAATTGGATAATTTAGAATGATGAATTTAACTTAATTTTAGGCATATAAATATGTATTTAGTACAATTTAGTACAATAATTACCACTTTTTCGACCTGATTTAGAATGTATAGATTATTAATTACAACATTTTTACAGTTAAAAGTCAAATTAATTAACCGACAAAACTATGAATTATTAGTCCTCAATAGAGCAATAATCAAACTAAATTGGAATTTAACCAATTAATAAGTAAGTCTTGTTATGATTGAGTTGAGCCAATCGAGCTTACTCTAGGCCAAGCAAATGAGTTTTTCCTAGGGTTTAATAATTTTCAACTAGATCAAACTCTAATCAAACTCTCAAGTTTGATCCAATATGTTAAATGTTTCAATTTATTTGTGATCTTAACATTTTAGGATTGTGTTAAATTACCAAGTTGGCACTTTATTTAATTTTTTAAAAGATGATGAATTAAAAAATAGAAATAAAAAAAAAGGAGAAGGGTATGATGAAATCACATGGCATAGTATGTATGGCATTTGATGAAAAATGGGGCTTTAATGCTTTGATCGAAATACTTTTCTGATTCATTATTATTTTTGATAGCAGAGAAGTAGCTATTCCTTGCTTGCTCTCATGACTCTGACGACCTCACTATTCATTCACTAAAAGGGCAACACCATTTTCCCATACTAATACTACCTCATTTTCAGTTTTATTTTCACCCACACTAAAATTACTATGTCATCTTTTAAATATACGAGTACATACTAACATACATGTAAAAATTTCTAAAAATATAAAATTAATAACATTTATTTATGTAAAGGTATAGTCAGATAGTCTATACATAATCATACGTTAATGTTTATAATTAGGAAATTAATAATAATGCATGAAATTAATAGACTAGTTTGCATGTGATGTTGCGTAGTCTTGGAGATGAGATAGATGTGATTTTTCGTTGTGGGGACGGAGCTACCAGCCCACAGGTGTTTCTTTTAGTAGTACTAGCTAACTAGCTACTTCTAGTAATGTTTTTTTCTTTATTTTTTATTTCAGATAAAAAAAATAAAAATAAATCAAAACTGTACTGTATGTACAAATAAACTACGATATGATCGAGTGAGTACATGTACATGGATCTTGGCTAGAATTCAATGACAGACAACTCATTACCTAATTTCTACCTCTCATTCAATGCTGATTTTAAACATCTCCTTTCTTCCCTGTGAATGTTTTGGAAGATTTTATCAGATGTTTAATTCTAATTATTTGACAACTTTATTAGTATCAAATGATAGTATTCGATCATGTGTTATAGAGTACGTGGTTGATAGTTTGATCTCCATTTGTAAGGGTTTCTAAATCAATAAAATTGTTTTTGTCATTAATCATAAAAACAGATGTCTAACTATACATTGACACTTTTAAACCAAATACCAACATGAAGTTTAAAAATACTGAATACTAAGTTGTTTTTTTTTACCTTATTCACATTATGTTTTGGACTCTTACTTAATAATGTTGTTTCCTTTCAGTTACAACTTACAGCATATCTAATGTTGGTTGGAAATTTTTTTACTAATCTCATTATTGTTTTGGTGCCCTTATTTGTACGGATGTGACTTGATCATGTTATCCCTTAAATTTACTGTGAGTGTTACCGTGGGGGAAATTTGGTAATGTCGCAGTAAATATTATATATTCAAGATATTGCTAATAATAATAATAATAATAATTTTAATAATAATAATAATAATAATATATCAAAAAAGTAATTAAAGGGGATCTAGGTGGGGTTGAGGGGAAGAGAACAAAAATGGAGAGACAAAAGATACAATAATTATTAAAAAAAAAAAAAAAAAAAAGAAAAGAAAAGAAAAGAAATAGGGAGAGGTGAAGTAAGAATAAAAAATTTTGTCAAATCGGAAGACAGTGGTGGATTCCCAGGTCACACGAGTTCTAATTTAGCTAAACTTACGTACAAAGAGTACACAGTACACCCCGTAGACCACCTTTCTTTCTTTTTTCTTTGACTTTGACTTTGTTTCAATTTTACCTTCTATTGCTATTAACTTATTACTATAATTACCCTCTACTACTAATTATGGTGCAGCACTGGTTTAAGCCTCCTAATTTCAGTAGGCAGCTACTTAGTTATAAGGAGGATACTGGATTAATTTGCCGATTAGTGGTTGTAACAAGGAAGAAATTATTAGTGAGAATAGTTGAAGTTAATTTTACAAACAGACAGAGGTTGATGGGAACTCAACTTAATTTCTAATAAAACATAAGAAATCATTTCCTAGGAATTTAAGTTCCTACATCTTCAACTAAACAAACAAATATCAATTCCTAGGAAATGGACAAGGAAAATTACTTCCCATGAAATATAATTTCCCATGAAAACTCATTTCCCACATCAACCAAACAACTAAGTCATTTTTTTTTACTCAAATTCGTGGTCAAATGTGT